CACACAACACAGCGCCTGCCCCATCGTGCTGTGCAGGCTGGCTGCGTGGAGCTGGCCACACTGCCGCTCCCCGTTCCCTCACAGGCCACAAGGCAGGTGTGGCCCTGTCCTCTGCGCCCTCGGAACGCCCACGGAGCGGAGGGCGTGTAAGACCCTCACCTGCCACGCGCGGGTAACAGGGAGCGGCCCCAGTCTGACGCAGCGGCCAGCAGTTCTGGGCAGCAGCACCTGCCGCCTGGTCCTGCAGAGCCAAGTCGGGCTGCGGGCGCCCCCTGCAGGCAGCAGACCGCAGTGCTCCAGCCTGGGATAGCACGATGGCTGTCACCAAGTCTCGCAAGAACAGCTTGAGTCTGGGTCTCACGGTATGGTCAGGCAGACGGGTGCATTCAACACTAAGGTCGGCAGGTAACAGAGGAGGGGGTTCTTGCACGACCACGTGTTCCTTTGGTTAGATAATGCTTAGGCCAGCTGGGGATATAGCTCAGCCACACAGTGCCTGCCTGGCAAATGTGAAGTCCTGAGATTGATTCCCAGTAGCCCTCCCCTCTGCCCCCACAAAAGAATGCTGCAGATGAGGCAGCTCTCCAAGACTGCCTCTGCCTGTAATAAACACACCGAAGGCTGGACGCTGCCCCGCCCTCTTCAGCCTGTCCTCTCGGACATAACAACCTCGGAGCCTCACCTCAGTGCCTCAGTTTACCCCACCTCCAGACTCCTCTCTAGTGTGATCCCAGGCTGATGACAAAACTATGACAGGAAAGACCTTTCTCCTAAGTTCTGCTTCTGCCTCAGAGACAAAGGGACTCAGAGGGAAGCCAGGCTCGCAAACCCGCTCTCCTCTGTTCCCCTGCTCTGCCACATCTTGCCAATATTTGCCTGCCGACGATTAGTGATCATGCGGCCAGCTCTTCCCTCTCCTTGGCACAACCACCCCATTGCCAAGCGCCCCTCCTCACCCACGCAGCCAGCAAGCTGCCCAGCTGCCTCCCCGATGATCTGGGACCAGGAAGCAGAGCCTAACACCACACCAGGGTGTGTGGGGTGACGGTGGCTTCCTCCCAGGCACAGCATGGAGGGCACAGCACTGTGCAGACACCAGGGAACCCCTACTGCCATGAGGAGCCAGGTCACAATCCTCGCCAGTCACAGACATGCCCTGAGTGGCACTTTACCGCTATGATTTCCACCCCAACACCTGCGGCTGGCGGGGCTCTCTGCAAAGGGTCCCAGCAGTACTCCTAAAAACCATCTAGGTCATCAAAGACAGGCGAGGAAACCCCCGCCCATCAGAGGAGCCTCAGGACCAGTGTCAATTAAATGCAAGGTGAGACCTGGCGTGAGATCTTGGTATATTAGGCAAAAACTCACCAAAGCTGAGTGAGGCACGGATTCTGGTTAACAATAACCTGAGACTTGGCTTCGCTGGTTGTGTAAATGTGTGTGTGGATGTGAGGAAACGACAGTGGGAAATGGCTGCGGGGCACGGGACCTCTCCCTGCTCCAGGGAACCCACAGGGATGCCCCTCTCCTTCCCTGCATCCTCCCTCACTGGCCTCCATGTCCTCTGCAGCCCATCTCTCCTCGGCCATCTCCATATGGAGAAGGGTGAGCACGAATAATGCAAAATATGCTGATGCTGGCTTAGAGAAAATTCCTAAAGGATTTAATCCATCAAACACGTCAAAGAGAACGAGAGGGGTCTTTGGCAATCCAACAAAGCCAAGGACATTTCCCAGTTCACCAGAAGAACAGTAAAACAAAAGGAAAATGAAAAGATCTCTAGGTTGCTTTTCAGAAGAAAATGAGGGTCGGGAGAGAGAACCCAAGGTTCCTGTTTGCCTGGCCACATGGGCAAATGGACAAGGGCACTGCACACCGAGAATATTCTGCCAAGCGTGACACAGTCAAACTAGTCAATGTAACAAAGGAACACGGGTCTTGTGTTTGCACAACACGCCTCTAGTTCACAAAGCACCTTCACACTCAGGAGATTCTAACGAGTGTCTTGTGCGGTAGGTAAAACAGGTGTTGGCAATCTCCTTTCACGTATGCCTGAGCGTAGCTTGTGTTTGATTTTGTGTCTGCAGGTGGAACCGGGGCCTCAGGCATGTGAGTCCAGGGCTCCACCCACAGCCCCGGAGCTCCAGCCAAGCCCCAGGGAGACTTGCAGCGACCCTAGGGGAAGCCCGGGCTCTGTGCTGCTTTGGGAAAAGGTGTGAAAGGAGAATTGGAAGCCCTGTGGTGAACCTGTCCTGCAGAGGACACAGTACTGACAGTTAGATGAGAAATTCACAGGTATCTTCACCCAAAAACCACGCCATGTGCTTTCAAGCACTTAACTGTCTGTTGTCATTATTATATAAATGAGAGTTATTATATAAGAAATATTGAAGAATAGATCAAAGAGATAGAAACCTAAAAGCATAGAATGTTTTGGTTTGACCTTAAATTAGCTATTCTTAGAGCAAAGATGAGGGCACTCGGAGGTAATATACAGATCCTGAAAAGGGCTCTGCATCTGGGCCATTATGTCCTATTCTGAAACAACTCAGTAGAAAGCGAGGGACAAGACAATGTTACAGAACCAGTAGCTGGAACTTGTGCGGCAGCGATCTAAATTTGTATAAAAACATGACTCAAGGAGACATAATCACAGCCTATAAATATCTTCCCAGCAGCGATACGTGGCAAATGAAGCCAGTGAATTATTCACAGCCTTTCACCCCAGTCATTTCTCTTTGTCCACCTGTCCAAGCTGCTGGAGGATCCTCAGGACCCAACCCAGTGGGGACACTGGGCAGAGACGTAAATGAGGGGGGCTGGGAGTGGCTTCCTCCGCCTTCCGGGGACCCCGGGCCCCACTGACATTTGCCCCCCTTACCAGTCTCTTCATTCCCCCCACCTTAGGTAAGGGCTGACACAGAAGGAACTGGATCAAAATGGTTTCGGTTGCTGGCCCGCCAACAGGAACGATCAGTATGGACATGGAGAGAAAGCGGGGTACTGAAGCTCAGGGAATGTCCCCCGGTGTCACCTCAGTGCCGCAGGGCTGGGGTTCTCATGTCCCTTGCTAGGTGTGAAACTCACCATTTGAAGGGGAGGAGGTTTGATTCTGCTCAGGGTTTCACGGGATTCCAGCGCCCAGTCTGCTGGCTCCAAGGGAGAACTTCGGAGCAGAAGGCCTGGGGGAGCTGAGCTGCCAAGTTCATGGTGGGCAGAAAGGGATGAAAGAGGAGGGCCCAGGGACAGCACGCAGGGCCAAGGCCACAGCTCCACAGCTGCCAGGACACAGCTGGGGCTGAGCCTCACTGATCCGCAGGGTGATGTTAAATCCAGTGGTGTTGACGATTCAACTAATGTTCAACGAATGAAGTCTGTCTTTCACTGTTGTTCAGTGATAATTCTCCCGCCACGGTAAAGTGATTCTATCTATCTTACTTAAAAATCACAATTTTTGATACCAAAGTATTTTTAAATCACTGTGAGCTATGCAAGTGCAAATTGTTATAATTACCATGTCTCAGGTGTTCTGCTTCAAAGTCATCCTGCTTAAACATTTCTTCCATAAGACAGTTGCCCTTCTTCTTGAAAACCACTAAGTTTTTTGACTAAGCCTCATGATCTCTCTAAACCAAAGGATGCTTCAAGGCCTGCCCTGGTCTCCGAGCTTGAAGTGACCTGGATTACATTTGCTATGGCGAAGGAAATGCTGGCAGCCCCTGCTGGCTGGTACTTAACACATCTGGAGTCCTCTAAGTGTGGCCTGCTCGGTCCACCCAAGCAGATTCTCCCCACTGCTTTCCCAAGCGGAACTTTCCTGGCCTGGCAGGGAAGCTGCCCACATTTGGTTGTGCCAAGCGTTAAGCCTTTAAATGGGTAATGGCTGCTCGATAACATAACAAAGGCCTTGAGTCCTGCCTGGATGGCGTCTTAGGGCTCTCTGTAAATAAGATGTGGTCACTACAGTGGCACTGCCAGGACCATAAGCAGCTGAGGCACCGTGAGACCTGTGTGGCAGAAGGCTCCTTGCCGTGACCTTGGCCTGGCAGCTGCATGAACTGGTCAGTGACATGACAGCGGTGAGCACATACTGCGTGTTATCCAGGAGCCCACGGGGTGTGTTTCAGGCTCCCAGCTGTGGCACTGGGTGCACCCAGGGGAGCCCAGGGGAGCCAGCTTTTATTACAGTATCACCTGAGAAATGACAGGCTTGAGCTTACTACAACATGACACTTAGAAGCCTTTGGGTAAATGCTATGTAGAGAAGGCAGGGGCCTATCATGTTCCTGTTCACTCTCACACACACGTGTGCACTGCACACACACACAGTGTGAATGTGTGCGGAATCCCTCTCATACAGTGGCACTGCTTAGGAGAAACTCGAATCCACCGCAGCCTCTGGGTGGGCCATTGTCCTGGGAGGAGGAGAAATTATCAGGGCTGCATGTCTACCCAGCACTTCCCTGTGGGTTGGTGGAATTTGCCAGCCTGAAATATTAACATAAAATTATGGAAATTGGAAATAGAAAGCTCCAGTCCACCGGGAATAATAGGCCCAAGATGAACTCAACTGGAAAATTTGGCTAACTAAAAGTGACGTCTTTTGTGCTAGAATTTTTCTATCTGAAAGCTTTAGAAAGGCTGTAATTATTTTGAGTTTTCAATTCAGCCTTTTTCCAATTAAGCCTTTTATTTCCTCCTTTGCTTGGTACCTTTCCTCCCAGGGAGCTCAGCATTTCCAGGCACTGAAGTGGAAAATTCATATTGGTTTTCTATGCATATCCATTTCCAGAGAATGCAACACAATTTTGCATCCTCTATGCCAAGAAAAACAAAGAAATATTTGTATATCAAAACCTTGTCTGGAGCATAGGCACAGCATTCTGGAGAAGGCAGAACAAATCAGCTGATAAGAAACGCTGGTGAAGGCCAAGGTGTGGTTTCTGTGCCCGCTGGCCGGCGCTCTGCGCTGGAAGCCAGGGAAGGAGAAGTCCGCTCACCTCGTGGCGTCCGGGTCCCAGATCACCATGTCCGCGTCGGACCCCACGGCTATTCTTCCTTTCCTCGGGTAAAGATTGAAGATTTTGGCTGCATTCGTGCTGGTGACCGCCACAAACCGGTTTTCATCCATTTTACCACTATGCTGTCAAAAATAAAATAATCAAGGAAAAAATGCGTTTCTTGTATTGATCACACATTTTTAAAATTCCTATTAATAAAAGTACAAGACTTTCCTGTCTCACACCAAGCAGAATGCACCTAATTTCTTATATCACAGAGCCAACGCCCCGTCGGGTGGTGGGAAACATTATACAAGGGTAATTATAACGAGGGAGGTGACCGACGGGCGCGTGGAAGCCTTGGTGCCTCTGAAGACTCCTCAGCTCACACACGGCCCGCTCGCCGTCCTTCCCAGAAGCACGGGGGATGCTCAGAGACAGCCAAACACGCCAGCGCTGCTTTCAATCCCCGTTTCAAGGTTGCCAGCACACTTGACTGCATTTGGGGTCTGGCTTATTTCTTGTGGACCTCAGATGACTATTTTCAGAGTTGAAATGAGATAGGCTGCGATGCTTTCAGATCAGGCGTGATGCCTTTTACAAGAGGAAAAATGCAGAGGTCCACCAGCCGTGGTGGGCAGTCTTTCCCAAGAGACTAACATGGAGAAAGTGTCCAGAGCTTGCCCTGGTGTGTGTGTATTTACATGGTAAGAGTGACCTCACGGCCTACTTAACCACCCACACCTCAGGGAGTGAATAAGAACCAGGCCCTGAGAGCAGCAGTCCCAGAAATAAACCCTCTGAATGCTCCAGAAAATAACATAGTTTCATGTGTTCTAGTAGGAAATATTTAATCACTTTAAAATCACTTATATATCTGGAAGCCAGAGCAGACTATGAAAATCTGCTGTAATGAAGATACTGTAGTAAATCCAAGAACAGTGGACTGTGACCAAGAAAACCTACGCAAAAAAGAAAAGAAAAGAGCAAAGGGGCCTCCCGAGGAATGGCCAGGGGTAGGATAAGCCGGGAGAGCAGAGAGAGAAGGGCGGTCAGCAGAGGGCTTGTGGTACAGCAATTGTTCAAATATTGTCCTTCTAGAAGGGAGAGAGTGAAAGGGTTTCAGGGGGGAGCAGCAGGGATGGAGCGTCACTCTGCGTGGTGACTCTGGCGGCGGCACAGTAAGGTGCATGGCATGGCTGTGAGACCACTGCATCCGTCCTGACAATGTGAGTCTCCAGGGAAATGGTTGCCAGGTGCACGGAAAGAGGGCTCATTCCTGAAATGCGCTTGATAACACTTGGCAAAAGGCTGACTCAGAACAATCACAGAAGACCCAGGACTCATGCTGGGTGGGCGAGGGAGGCAGGATGCAGGCTCTCAGGTCTAGCTGGCCTCCCCTGCTGACTTCCAAGTATACACACGTCCACTGCGGGACAGGTCGGCACATGGCCACTGAGCCACAGATCCCTCTCCATCCCCAGGGAGCAGTGTCTGTACTCATGGGAATTCCTCCAGGGCTTCTTTCCTAGGCTTTGAGTTCTTCTCCATGTGACTTATTGTTGTCTTTGTTTGTACAATAATTTCTCAGAAAGGACATTTACACAGATTCCATGAAAAGAAGCTATGAACAGGATCAGCATCCTCTCATTTCTAGACTCCAGACTAGTGATGCAGGAGGCTTTGGGATTCAAGAACACAAGAAATGGAGCAGGCGGGCCCTAACCTGTCAGGAGGGCCCTTGGCTGCACCCAATCCAAATCTCCCCCATGCCACCTCCAGGCTGAGCCTGCGGGGAGGACAGTGGTTTGTCCTGGGAGTGGGGTGAGAAGAAGAAGGAACGGTCAGCAAGCGTCCCTGCGGAGGCCGAGGTCACAGCCATGGAAGTCAGGCTGGATCTGGGAAACCCACCACGCCTTTTTCCCATATGACGGACATCCGGTCTTCCACACCATTCACCCCGTTGGGGATCTTGGTAAAGTCGTCCTTCCCAAGAGCTTTCTGGCAGGTGTTGAAGGTGCAGTGGTCAGTAGCTGTCGTGGTCAGATCGTCGCTGGAGAGGAAAGAAAAGAAGCAAACTATGAGAGCCGGGAGCATCACCCTGGACACCTCCATCACGGTTCTCGTCTGCTGACCACTGCTGCGCTGAAAATCAGAAAATCAGAACGGGGGAAGAATGAGCAGGCTTTTCCCAGGCCTGCTTCCTCCCTCTCCCGGCCGCAGTGTGAGGCCCAGTGCCAGAGAGCAGGCTGGGAGAAGCAGGGGCACGTCTGTTCTAGGCTCAGCCGAGGTCTGAGGCTAAACCCCTCTCACGCAGACACTGGATGCGTCTGATGAGGATGACGTTGGGGTCACTGGGAAGAATGCGCAGGAGGATCCTTTGGAGGAGAGCTCCACACAAGTCCCCACCACTGCAGTCAGGTGTGGGGGAGCGTGCCTGTGACCCCAGCACTCAGGAGGCTGAAGCAGGAGGATCCTTGCAAGTCTAAGACCAGCCTGGGCTACAAAGTAAGTTTAAGGCCAGCCTGAACCACATAGCGAGACCCTGTCTCAAAAAGGAAAAAAGATAGATAGAAGGAAAGAAAGAAGGAAATCCCACAATTGTGCCTCCAAGGCAAACTGTCACATGGTGACCAGCCCAGGTGAGCGACACACCCAGGACAGGTGCCTGCTTTAGCTTGTGGAAGGGAGGTAAGGGCAAGGGACGAGTGAACGCTCACTCGGACACCTGGGGTCAGCGGTGCCCGCTGAGCTGACGCTGCAGGTCTGTGGACGGGAGGCTCAGCACCAGCACCGTGTGGTTCTCGAGAACAAGGCTCACCGTGCCCACCGAGTGAGCGGCCTGTGCACCAGTGCGGCCCTGGATCATATCAGCAGTGGAACAAACACAGCGTGCTAGGTAGGAAGGTGACACCAGGGCTGGGGGAGCAGCCCGGGTGGAGCCTGCTTGCCCTGCAGGTGGAGGCCCTGGCTCAGGTCCACTGTAAAGAAGCGACGTAGAGCGAAAGCAAGCAGAAAAGGTCCTAGGAAGAGCCTGGGCCCGGGAGACGAGAGATGGGAACCGGCGGCATAGGATCTCAGCGCAGGTGGCTGCATGGGGGCCGTGACTCTGCACAGCCTGGCGAAGCCGTGCGCTTTGCTCCCCAGGGGAGCAGGTGCCTGGAGCTGTCAGGTGGGGGAGCAGGACAGGAGGTTCGCAAGCGCCTCACACAGGACAGGCTCTCCCCCACCCAACCCGGAGACTCGGAAACAGCTTTTGGCAAAACGTCACACAGTTACTTAGCCAGCAGGTTCATGAGAAATCCTGGCGTCGAGGGGTCGGGCCGCAGGGGTGGGCTCATGACGTGGTGGGCCGCGTGGCTCCATTCTTTATCCCAGTAGTGAGTGCCGTCGGTGCCCAGGCTGGCCACTATGGGCTCCCCGTACACCACCTTCCCTGGGAAGTCAGAGGACGCAGTCAGCACCTTTGTTTGCTCTCAAGACAACCATCTGGCAGACACGTAGGCTCAGCCTTCGCAAGGAAAGCAGCTTCGGCTTATGGAACCCAAACTACCGTTGCTCTAAGCACAAGGCTGAAAAGGAGCCAGTAGTGATCAGGGCGCCTCTGCCGTGATCCGGCCGCGGCACATGGCGGGATGGAGCAGGTGATCCTACCCACTCGCCAGTTAGATCTGAGGGACAGTGACACCCTGCTTCCCAGAAAAGCCGTGAAAGTGGTCTTGGGTTCTGCCACGCCATGGGTCCCCAGGATGGAGAGATGCTGGAGCAGAGGCAGAGCCACCCCGAGATGCCCAAGGTGCGGGTGGGAAGCGAGTCTCTCCCGTGCTGGATCCTGTGAGCCGCAGCAAGGCCTGGAGAAAGCTGCGGATAAGGAAATCTAGACACCCTACTGGGCCAGGGAACTGTTACCTTCGCCCAGCCATGGGTTGCGTGACCCCCCACAGTTACTAACATTCATCCCACACGCAGGGAGCAGGGTGGGGAGGCCTGCAGCCCAGGGTGTGGCTTCTGGTGGCCCTCCTGTTAATGCTACACCAGACAGATGTAGTGATTCCCACGGGCACACGGAAACCACCTCCATACAGCTCTGCTGCAAATAGCTTGGTAACCTTTGCACACCCAGATAATAAAATTGAAGCCCAAAATGGGTACTTTAAAAATCATGCAAATAAGCTCATCAAAAGCAGACGGCATTGGAAAACTTAACAGTTCAGTGAATTTGAATTTAAAGTCAGAAGCCTATGTCTGATTAGCATTTGTCAGAATCACAGATTCCTGGTGACAACCGTGTCCTATGCAAGCAGTCAGAAGGGAGAGCTCGGAAGGGAGCTGCGCGGCAGGTCAGCGCACTCGGCTCCCAGGGTGCTGAGCTGTCGTTACAGTCCTGGTCCAGCGCTGAGAGTAACTGATGCCCTGGGAGAGCACTGAGCACAAGGCCCAGCACCCTGCTGCCTCACAGGTCAGTTCTCCCACACATTGCTGTCTTCTCTGCTACCCTAGAAAATCCAGGAAGCACGAAAGCCAGGTTAGCATGGAGAGTCCTCAAAAAACAGAAACTAGAATTCCCATTTGACCCCACTATTCCCCTTCTCAGCATCTTCCTGCAAGAGTTAAAATTGTGTTAGAGAGACAGGTGCCCGCCCATGTGTATAGCACAATGCATAGCAGCCAGGGCTTGGAAGTGGCCTCTCTGACCATCAGCTGGTAACTGCATAGAGAATGGTGGAGTACTACTGTGCCATAAAGAAGGATACATTTGAGTCATTTGTAGGAAAATGAAGGCGCCTTGAGGCCATAAAATAAAATAAATCAGACACACAAGTTTAGGCATCACATGGCTTCTAGTGTCTAAGAAACCCAAAGTATAAACAAAGAGCAAAATAGAAGATAGATAATCAGAAGCAGGGAGAGGGCTATTTCTAACGGGAAATTGAGAGACGGCAGGAGAGACAAGGGAAGGGTGAGGAGAGGTGGAGTTCCCCACCGGTGAGTTATGTCCTCCACACGAGGGAGGTAAAGGTCATGTCCTGCACACGGGTACTAGTAAAGGGGTCAGCTTGCTGAAGTCTAAGGGTCAGTGAAAGCGACGCCCCAGGAGCTTAGCCACTGCCGGACCTGCGGCTTCCGTGAGGTCAACACCTGCGGGCACCCTACTCCGGCTTCACTCTTCCCGGAAGGGGAAGCTCCACTTGCATCTCTTGTGGTCTCTAGAACAAGCAGCGATCATGACGGGTGACCCGAGAGGGACCAAGACGCTGGGGAGACAGCAAGACGGTCGCCTCCATTTACCTCCGAGTACAAAGGCAGCTGGCTGTCCCGAGACAGCTTCTTGCAGACACTGAGGACTCAGAGACCTGATTCCAGCCCTTCTGAGCTGCTGACTCAGGATTTTCCTGGAGGACAGATCCTCATGGTACGTTCTGCTCAGTCACTCGGCGGTGATGTGGGAAAGCAGCTCAGAGCTTCCGCCACTTCAAGGGCACTCAGGAAAAATGAGAAGTGTCAGCATCTACCGGAGCTGCAGGCTGGTTTGAAAGCAGATGACAGCTCGTTTCCCTGGAAGGGCTCACTCCCTTAGAACGTGACAGGTCATGTTTCTGAATATTCAAGCTCTTTGCAAGCTGGCTTATATTCAGCGTTCTCCCCGTGTGTGTCCATAAATACATGAAAAGTAAAAACTTCTAATTCTAAGACATTTTCAAAGGCCAAAAAGCTGTAAGAAGTGAAGGGGGAGGAGAACTGGGGACCAGGCGGTCCATAAATTGGGGAATCAGCCTGGACACGTGGGTTCTGATCCACGTGGGCTAAACACATTGATGAAAGTAGCTCAGGGAGGCACAGCCTCTGCAGCAGGTGGCTTTGTGATGACCTCTTCGACCTCAGCAGCAGCCAGGGTGAGGGACGGCGCTGACACCCGAGGAGCCGAGTTCCCGGCCCAGACTACACAGGTCACCTGCGCTGCATCCTGAACTAAACCTCTTCTCTTCGGACGGCAGATCCCATCGCTGTGTTATTACAAAAAGCGTCACCTTCGCTGCTTGGCATGGAGCGCGTGTTTTTAAATGTTTAAGTCAACTGTGGGCTATTTGCAGACTGGCTGAGAAGTCTTCAGGTCACACCACACTGACAAGGAAGAGCACCATTGCTGTCCCCAGCCGGGCTCTCCTGATCCCACTGGTGTCCAGAAGGCTCCGGGAGTCCCGGAGATGACACTGGCCTCCTCCCACCGCTCAGCAGGCATGGGGAGCCGTGCCCTGTCTGCCCGCAGCTCCTCTCACCTGTCTCCATCCTGGATCCTAACCCTGAGAGAGCCAAAGAGCTCCGCCTAAGGGAGTGTGCCACGGGGTGGGGAGCAGAGGGACCCACGAGTTGCACTTCTCTGTGGCCCGCTAGGGAGGGGAAAGAAGCTGAGCTGGCTGGGGGAGGGAAGACAAAGCCACATAAAAATAAATTTCCCCAAGGGCAAAACTTCCTGGGCTCTGTTTTTATGGGGGGGGGTGTTCTTTTTTTTTTTTTTTTTTTTGTCTTTTTGAGACAGGGTGTCGCTATGTGGTTCAGGCTGGTCTTGGCTCACTTCATAGCCCAGGCTGGTCTCCAACTTGCCACAATCCACCTGCCTTAGCCCCCCAAGTGCTGGGATTGCAGAGAGTTAAGCTCACATAGACTGTGCAGCCTGTTAGCTCCGCACAGGGTGAATCGGCCTCAGTCCTCTGTGAGGTGGGATCACAGTGTCCTGTCAGGGTGGCAATCTTGTGATGGTCAAATGAATTAATGTCTCTGAAAGTATGGTTTTTAGCATGTTCCTTGAACCCTGCGGTCACCTCAGGGCCGTGGGCTGGACCTTTTGCCCCTGGCCAAATTTTAGATGTTGAACCCTCAGGATGCATGGATGCTGCACAGAATGTCTGGATAGCAGTAACAGAGGTGCAGTGGGGTGCAGGGCACCCCTAAGCTGGTAAGGCTGGGGTCCTCATAGGAAAAGGACGCACAGAAGGGAAATAACTCGAGGACACAAGGAGATGGCCATTTCCAAGCCAAGGAGAGTGGTCCGACCGGCCTGCCTCATACCCTTTGTTACAGCAGCTGTGCGAACTCATGCGCCAGGACATGGTTTCCTTCTGAGTTTTGCAATGTTCTAGAACAGCCAGCTTTAAACTGCTTTGTGTTGGATGTAAGGTAGACCTTCCCATTTCAAATGTAAAAGACAAGGAGGTGTTCAGGTGTTCAAGACCAAGTAAGGAAAAGGCTAAGATCCTTAGAAGGCTGGCGAGAGCAAATAAAAATGTTTCCTAAATGAAGAGCAAAAGGTGAAGGAGTTTAAGAGGTGACAATAGTTACAGGACACGAGGGACTAGGACCTGTTCCTGGGAAAGGCGATGACCAAAGGAAAAATTTCAGGATTAAAACTCAGCTTCCAGATTAAAAGAGGGCATTTTAACCTGACACAAGGGCATTTTAAAAAGGCCAAATAATATATAAAAATAGTAGAAATGTCTAGACCTCTACGATGAAGGAAAACAGGAGGGCATTCAAGATGGTCAGACTAGTCATCAGGGAAAGGCCAGCACCATTCAGGGCTGGGAGGAAGGTCACACCTTCGAAACAGAAGTAACTGAGCTCAGAGCCCTGCGCCCATTCAGACCACTGGACACCTGTGAGGACAAGAAACCACAGAACGCACCTCCTACCCTCCTCTCCTTAAAAATATTCCTGAGACTCCCCAACTATGAGCAAACAGGAGACTTGGGAACCAGGAAACACATGTGCGAGGTAGGCGCTCCCAGGCTGACTGGCTGGGTACAGAGTGGGGCGAAGAAGCTGGAAACTCTCATGAGACTCTGGAGAAAGCATTTGCTTCTTTTTTCAACCCATTTTAAAAACAGCAAACTGGAAATGTTCTGGGAAAACCAAGAAACCTTACAGGACTGTGATGGTGTAACTGCATAGCAACCACAGCGAGCTCTGCTCTGAGCACGGGGAGAGAATGTGACCCTGAACTCCAAAATTGTTCTGCATGGGGGGGGGGGATTCAAGTAACGTGGATTTGCATTGCACTTAGTGGCATCAATCTCTCCCAAGCTCTGTCTACACACAGGGACAAGTGTCACCACCATCGTGCACCATGGCGGTGGAAGCTTGGTCTTAGGCTGTGCAGCAGGTGCAGAAGCCTACCTGCAGACGGAGCCAGCTGCCAGCTGAAGTCACAGTCACTACTTGGATGTCAGGAAGTGAAGGTAGAATCCAGGTGAGCTAGAATGCTCATTTCTCATGGGAGTCAAGGGTATCTTGAAAAATCACGAATGACTATTATACACTTAGATATTAAGATTTTGGAGGTGACCACCAAACACTGAACCTATGGCTCAAATCATAGCTCCAAAGAGTGAACTGAGAGCAAAAGAGGCGTTTACTTTCCATAAAATACTTTATCATTTCCATCCTTGACAGGTGCTACACTTTTAATAGCAAAGAATGTAATGAGACGATTATGTGCTCAATGAAATATTTAAAGCATAATGTCCAAAGCCAAAGATCAGTTAAATTTTTTAAAAGCTGAACTCATTAAATCTAAACTTGGAGTCCATACTTCCCCAACTCTAGCCCAATTTCTTCTTGAAGTGAATGAGAAATAACTGAGAAGGTTTGGCTTTCATGTCCAGTGGATTCAGGCTTAGATTCTGGATTTTGCACCCATTGGTGAATCCATCTGGTGTTTAATTTCCCAGTCATCTCCCAGCCCCTAATCCTGCCACAACACAGGGATAAAGTTGAGCCTGAAGCATTACTATTACAAGTTTTAAAAGATAATGTACGTTATCTGTGATTGGTGAGATGCATGGATGAGTTAATACAGAGTAAAACCTGAACTGAGATAGAAGATATTAAAACAGTGCTGTGTGCCAGGCACATATTAAGCACTCAATAAACAACGTTAGCTGTTATGATCATGCTGGGTATAGAGTTGGCAACTGAATAGTGAAATCAAATTTAATCGCATTGTATTCAACGCTGCTACAGTAGAGGCCAGCAGTACTTGGGCATCCTGGTGTCTCCTGGAACAGGGCTTCTGACTTTAATACGCATACCAGTCTGGGAGGTTCCCGTGATTCAGCGGGTGTGGGATGGTGCCAAGGCTCTCTGAGCCCAGCGCTGCAGTCCAGGGCTCCCGGAACGCAGAGGGCCTGGCCCAGGCATCTATGGAGGGGAAACCTTGGGACAGACGCCAGGCTGAGTTCTTTTGGATACAGGATCACAGTCAATAGAGCTCCATTGTTTGTTCACGGTCAGAAATGAGGTCAGAAGACAGCAGAGTGCAGGCAGGGTGGGGGAACCTTCTAGAAAGGACAGTGTGGTCCAGCAGGTTTGGTCTCCCCACGGCCTCAGGGTCTGTCTTCGGGGTTGCTGAGACAGGCACTCCCCACGCACACAGCTCATCTCTGAGCCTCTCTTGCCCCCTGGCTTTCAGCAATCACAGGCCCTGCTGAAGGGGTTGTAGGGGGGATGGACAATCTCCCTGACTTGTTCTGGAATTCTGCTGCCTCTCTGACTGAGCATTAAGGCTTTTTCACAAGTACTACTCACCGGGAACGTTTGGGATGATGTTTTGAGTATTCATGATCATCCAGGTAAGGAATGTGGCAGCATCTACTAAAAACTCAGGCTGGCAGGTGTACCTCTAGGAATCTACCTCAAAGTCATCTTTCTGTGGGTGTAGGATATCAGAGCCCCAGCCCCAGCCCCATGTTGATCCATACAGCCTGGGAGTAGCTTTTATCACATGGCAAAGGGAAGCTCACAGATGTGATTCGGGAGCTCGAGATGGAAATTAACCAGGCAAGCTCAAGGTACCCAAGGGTCTCTAAAGTGGAAGAGAGGAGAAAAGAGGAGGCTGGAGCAATGTGACCAGAAACAGCCTGGCACTGTGGGCTCTGAAGGTCACGGAGCGGACCATGAGCAGAGGGCGGTGGCCTCAGGATGCTGGAAAGAAAAGACAAGTACTCCTCTCCTGAGGCCCCCCAGGAATCTCAGCCCTGCAGACACCCGGTGCTAGCTAGCCCTGAGTTACATTCAGGTCTAGAGTCCCTGAAGCCACCTATGTCCAGGGCTGACTGTGCTCATCCCTGAGTTCACGCTGAGTGTGTGATTAGGAAGGGGGTCCAGGGCGAGGCTTGGGAGGGGGTCTCTCTCCAGGCTCCGCCCCTTGCATGGTGGGAAAATCTCCCCACCAGGCCCTGCTTTCTGTCTGCTTCTGCCTTGCAGCAAGCTGAGCAGGAGCTGAAGTAGCTCTTTCCCCCTAAGGCGGGTGCGGGGTGTTTAGTCTCAGGGGCAAGGAAGTGACCGAGATATCCAACAGATCTGTGTCCACGATCTGATCTCTAGAACCACGAGATAACACAGCTTCATTGTTTTAAACCACGAAGCTGTGGCCATTTATTACCATAGCGAGAGGCAACTGACACGCCTTGCACAAGTACGAGACCACACACACACACGAGGTTGTCACTACACTTTCCTCATGAGAGTTAAAGCCTGGAAACAACCCAAGGGCACCTCTGGGCACTTCGAAACAACAGTTTCAACTGGGGGAACAAAAAAGCAACACACACACTATTGTGCAGAGGATGCTATTTTCTATATAGGAAATACAAGGAAACCAGAAGGTAACATAGTTTTTCTTTGTAAAGGGAAACTACAAATATAGGCCAGACATAAATTCATAAAAATAATTACTTACAGAATATGAGAAAGAAAGAAGGAAATCATTCTTCCCTGAGTACTTTTTATATATGACTTTGACTTTTGGATCATGTAAATATTTTACACATTCAACACATAAATTGAATTTAATGTATTTATGATAAAATTAAAATGCCCACACTAAAGTATAAAGTGTTCTATCATCTATAGTAGAATATCTTTCCCAGACCTTGGCTCTGATTTTCATATTATCTTAGTGCTAAATATGCAAGATAGAGAAGCCTCTCCCTGGCAGAACTGTGGAAACGGAGCTTGCTGGTGGGTCAGGACTGATCGTTTCTGCCGGTTCTGCAACCTATTCGCACCTCACCCGGCCTGAGTGACAAGGGAAACGCACCCAGTCCATCAGTTGGCAGCAGCGCCATCTGGTGGGAAAGTCTGCATTGCAGCGTCTTCTTTTCCGAGGCAGCTCTAACACAGCAGGCCTCGCCTATGTGGGCCCCGGTGGGAGCGACCGGAAATAGCCCTACTAAAACGCCCTGAATGCTTGGGTAGATCAAGCTTAACGCGCATATTGAAGGATTACATTTAAAAAGTACAGATGGTTCGCAATCCTTACTGAACCTTCGTGCATGGAAAAGCAATTTTGAGAAGATTTATTTCAGCACCAGTGCCAAATCCAGGTTCATAGCTTTTGTAATGCATATCATAAAAAGGTAGCAGTTTCGGAGGCACCCAGCCAGGATGACTTACAAGACGGGCTGTGTTTGCACAAGTGAGAGGGCAAGCTACCAGCTCCGCAGGAGGGCTGGGCTCATTGACTAAAATGTGCAGAATTTGTTTTTCACCCCTCCTTGACAGTGCTTGCAAATAAGTGGAATTATTTCTCTGTCCAATTCGTATTGAGATCAGGAGACTCTCTTCTAAGTCAGACTGAACAGGAGAGGTAGGTGATTAGGCATTTCGGGGTAAAAGTAAGTTTCATTTTAACACCGTAAAATAATCATCATAAAGACCCTGTTGCATAATTGCTTCAACTGATCCAACACCAAAATTGCTGCCCTATGAACCAATTCAAAACAACGTTTTTCTGCACGGGCCCCACCCCAGCCCCACAGGTGCTGGCAGAGAAGCCAAGGAGGTGCGCAAACCTCTCGGAAATTCCCGGAGCTTGGCATGGAGCTTACAGATCCTGGCGTGTGGCTGCCTGCACTGTGGAGGCGGCAGAAAGAACTGGGATGCAGCCCGGGGGATAAGAGAGAGATAACTCCAGGAAGAGAGGCGGGCGGGAACAGCAGCCGGAGGAGGGAACCACACGCGGGTGGGGTGGATGAAGACAGGCAGGCGCTGCTGAGGCAGGAGGAAGAAAAGCAGTGGCCACCGGCGAGCCACTTTCCCGAAGCAGAAGCAGCATCTGCAGGTGCAGCCCGATGCTGGGTGGGGGGCTGTCCCTGGGCTCACCATCTCTCCTGGCGTCCGCTATGACTGTGGCTGCAGACTTGCTCATCACGTGCACCACGTAGAGGGGACAGTTCACCGCATCGGCCAGCGTGATGGCCCGCAGGGTGGCCTCTGCCTCCACGGCCTCCGGCCGGCACAGCTCATGGCCCTCGGGGCCTGTGATGCCCAGTGCCAGCATCTTCTTGGCCCCCTGGGAAGACAGCAGGAAAGATAGTAACACCAGCACCAAGACAGGAAAATGGAAGGTGCCCAGGGACTTTTGGATCAGTGGGCACAAGTGTGTGTGTGTGTGTGTGTGTGTGTGTGTGTGTGTGTGCATGAAGTATCTTTGGTATAAAACCAACATTCTCAATGCATCTATTAACTTTCTCTGTGCACATTTCATCATCAAATTGTGTTGCCTGAAAAGGTACAAGATAGCAAGTTATTTCTGACCAAGTGCTTCGAGAAGCAAGGTCCATATTCAAGACTGAGTGTCAGCGCACAGCAGCAAAATCAAACTAAACCCAAGTCCTTGTTGAGGGACTCCTAGAAATCTGTTACCAACTTCTGCTCTTTTTTTACTGAATCATTTTCCCTGGCTCCCAGCCCAACCCACTCTGTGGTGATGGGATTTTGTTACTTCCTCTTTCCAGAACGGATTTCATTCTTAAGAAAAAGGCAGAGTCCTGGCCACCAGTAAAGACATGGCCGCCGCACAGCCGGAAGAGCAGGGTCACTTTTAAACCCTGGCTGGTTACAGCTCCTGCGCACCCCTGAGTGCTCCGCTGGCCCCCAGCTGCGGAGCCTCCGTCCACCCACGTTAGTGGGAGTGGAGCCAGGAGAGCAAAGGTCAGCTGATATGGATGGGGAGAGAGATGGCTTCTCCAATCCCACAGATGGGGAACCCCTTGGGCATCAATAAGGGAACCAACCAGAAATACATACTCACTAGCCTCCTGCAGAGCCCCTGTTAACCCTGTTTCTGAAAAAAGCAGGGCTTAGCAGACATCTATCTACCACACTGGGTAGGGCTCGGGTTATAGACACCGTCCGGTTCAGAACCAGCAGCTGCGGCTGCTAAGGACAAAGCAGGAAACTGTGGTGCCGAGCAGGCAGCAGGTATGAAACGGAGAAATCCTTCCTCTTGTGTGTGAGCCAGCAGGCTGAATCCGAATGCAGGGACTCAAGCAAGCAGAGCGAGGCTCCAGGGAGCCGCCCACCCCAAGTCAGCCTGCGGGTCCTGCTCTTCCAATGTGTCACCTGCCTCCAGAGGGCCGAGCATCCTCACAGCCCGTTTTCATGTCTGCCCAGGGCTGATTGAGCGTGCTTACCTCTGCGATGATGTCTCCGTTTTCTGCGTGGACCTGAGCGACAGCTCCAATCTCCTTGCACTGCTCGAAGGCAGCGTACAGTTCTGGGTCCCGCACCATGAACAGGTCCCTGTAGGCCATGAACATCTTGAAGGAGCTGACACCTTTCTCCCGGGCCAGGATGGCCATTTCTTCTTTGACCTAAGGGGCAACAAACACGACAATCGCTCTTCTACTGCAATGATAATTCCAACATTCTCCAGCAAGGTGCATTCACAAAACACGAAAATAAGGCCAACAGTTTAGGTCCAAAACAGGCAGGGAAACCCTTGGTCTTTCTCCCATGCCATCCCCCATTTCATCTGCTGAGCTGCTGCTGTGCACAGAATAATTCAGGAAACAGCAGTTCTCCTCCAAGTGCTCAGATCCCTGCACATAGAACTCTTTGCTCTGTCTCTGAATAGAAAGCAAAGATAACACACGTGGCTGCAATGGGAGCTGCCGTGGACTTAGAAGGAGCCCAGGCTGTGGGGGAAAGGGCTCAGGGTCAGGTCTCAGAGCTGCAGGACGGGTTCCTAGGGGGAGAAAACACAGTGGTGGACAGGCAGGGCCTGGCCGAAGGAGCGGGACCTCCACGTGGAGCCCAGGCAGGCTGGGGGCAGGGGACAGGTAGCTCTGGGTGCTGGACTGCTCAGGAACTGGGGCCTTCGGGGTTGCCCAGGGCAATGGGCCAGGGAGGCTCAGAAGGAACTGGGGACTGCCCCTTAGGCCTGGTCCAAGCTTCAAGGTGGATTAAAAACTCATAGGGAAACTACAGAGATTAGCAAATAAAGTTGAATTTCTATAGATTAACACACAAATAAAAAATGTAGAAATATAGGAATATCGGTCTTCGTGAGCAAAAGCTCTTTCAACTCTAAGAAAAACCTTAGCAGCCCAGATGAAGTAGTTACCCAACAATTCATGGAGTAGAAATAAGTGACTAATTAACACGCAGAAAGGTAAACTTTGCTACTCGTTTTTTAAAAAGTGCAAAATAAAACAATGCTAGCTTTTTCGGCTGAATTAGCAAAGCTTAAAAACGAGGAGATGACACCAGCCCCAGTGTCGACAGCTGGGCGCCCCTGGCTCAGCTCGCCTCTCTCCCTGCAGAGCTGCGCAGTCCGCTGGTTACCTGTATGGCCTGGGGTCTGGGGAGCGGCATCTTCTGCCATTCCAGGGCGGTGCCGGGTGTAGTGGTCTCTCAGTAAGCACCACGGAATTAGGTGACAAATTAATACAGAAAATTAAATGGAAAGAAACGCTACAGTGCTGGGAATGGATGAGCGATGCTCTGAGCCCATGATTTGTCAGAAGACAGGGGGTGCTGCCGTGCACCTCGTTTTTGTTTGTTTGTTTTTCTCTACAGTTTCAGATTTTCCACACTTGCACAAGGTTAGCAGAGCCACATGCCGGCTTCCGAAGGGGCTGGTGGAGGATGCTGCCCGGTGAGCACAGTGGCCTTTCCCTTGTCAAGTGTCCTGTCATCCACACCATCGTGCTGCTCGGGCACAGGGACGGAAGCCCTGCTACAGCCAGGGTGAAGGGGGTGTGGGGCTCGCCCGCCCACCTGCGGATGTGGGGATGCGGGGTGACACGTGTGCCGTGAGCCACCTCAGTTGTGGTGAAGATGAAGTCCTTAGTGTGGACCTAATCCCACATGGCCAGTGGTTTTAAAGAGAGGACACTGTGTCACAGTTGCCCATGCAGGGGACCGTGTGGGAAGACGGGGGCAGAGACCAGGTGCAGGTTTGAGACAAGCAACCCGGAGACTGCACAGCACAGTGGCCCGGACGGTTTCCTTGGAGGAGACCCTGCCCAAGGTTCAACCCTGGGCTTTGGACCCCGAGGCGTTGACCTCGGTGCCTCCCACCCTCCGCGGGGCTTGGTTACAGCACGCGTGGAATCTGTACTTGGATATTCACCGGCGATGTCTTCCCATAATCCAGAGTGAGAAGCCAGGGGAGCGCTCATCCTCTGTGCTCCGTCGTGTCCAGTAACAGGGAGGAAAGGAGATGAAATGAGGAGAGAAGGGAGGAGGGGGGAGAGAGGAGGGGGGAGGGAGGAGGGAGGACGGAGGACGGAGGAGGGAGGAGGGAGGAGGGGGGAGGAAGGACGGAGGAGGGAGGAGAGAGGACGGAGGAGGAAGGATGGAGGAGGGAGGAGGAAGGATGGGGGAGGGAGGAGGGAAGAGGTAGGAGGGAGAAGGGAGGAGGGAGGAGGGAGAAGGGAGGAGGGAGGAACAGGCCTCAAAGGCACAACACAGAGCAGAGCATCGCTTCGCATGGCAGTTGTTTCTCTGAGTTTTTTTTTTTTTTTTTTTGAGAAGAATCAGCTTGAGCTGTGAACTCTAAACTGTGCCATCATGTTGGCTGAACTATTTGCTACAGCTTGAGTATGCGTTTTATATTAACCCAGAGTCTAAGGTCCAGTTTTGGAGGGGAGTTGGGAACATAAGTTACTCAAATACCGCTCACCCCGTGAGCCCTTCCCTGTGAAAGGACTCTCGGTGAAGGCGCCTGCGGGCGAACAAGCTGTGACTAAAGCCCGAAAGAACGCTTCTCCCCGCAAACATACTTCAGCAGCTCTCAAAATCATCTTTTCAGTTCAAAGCTTGTAATCAATCCTGCTAGACCCGGGGAACGAGGGCCCCCGGGTGGAATGGCACCAGGTGGCCCCAGAATAGGCAGTGGCATCCACAGCCCCCCCCCCCCGGCCAGTTCTGGACCCCTGCCCTTTGGCCTCAGTTGCCAGTTTTGTCCGCAGTGAGCACGAGGGGACCTGAAGGGACACCCCACCTGCTCGCTCCACCAGGTCACGGCCACGTGCAGGCTGTAGTCGCAGCAGACTTTGGGGTCGGCCCAGCGCCGCCAGGTGTCGAAGGCGTCCAGGAGAGAGCCGCCCCTTGGAGGGATGGCGAAGTCGATGATGGTGGTGGTGCCTCCCGCCAGAGCAGCCTGTGCCAGAGAGGTTCCACAGTGAGCCGCCCGCCCACCCGAGGCCGGGCTTTTGTCGCCTCATGTGCAAGTGTGAGGGTCCCCCAGGGGCCCAGGAAAGAGCCCAAAGCTGCTGTCTGCTTAAAAGACCCACAGGGAAGGGGCAGACTTTCCGCTGTCAACGCTGCTTCCACACAGAGCATGAGGAAGCTGGCGAGGAGTGGCTTTGACCCCAAGCAAACAGCAGGGCTGTCCAGGAAACACCCAAAATGGAACCGTGGAAAACATTAAGATAGTTCTTCTTAGGAGCCAGCCTCCCTCTCAGTTTCTACCTTCTCAGGTTGCTTCTTGGTGAGTTGCTTATCCACCTGACCCAAGATCTACCCAGAATCTGGGACAGCTTCTGCCTCTCCAGCCCCCAAACCACCACGTGACTTCTTTGTTGTTCTGTGATTTATGCCCGTGCCCTCCATCCGTCCACCCCAAGCTGTCTTACTTCCCACCCTTTGACTGTTTTTATCAGTCACCCACTGGCCTCTCTCCAGTTCTGTGCACACTCACTAGACCCCAACACAAATCCACATCACACAGGGGCATTTCCAAAGCGAGAACTGACCAGTAGCTCCAAAGGTTAAGGAGGAGGATGGGCGGGGAGGATGGATGGGGAGAGACTGACTAACAGAGGAAAAGATCTGCTGTTCTGTTGCTCGAAGGGCATCAGCTGACAACGAAGCACAGAGCATTCCGCAGCAGCTAGGAAATCAGGTACGCCCTCTCCACAAAGTAATGATCAATGCTGAGAGGTGGATAGTTTCAGTCTCCTGCACTGGTCATTGCATAGGTATCTTGGGCCGAAAGGAAATCAAAGGAGAATTTTAAAAAGGTTTCTCCCTGCCTCTGGAGTAAAGTACATCTTCTTAACACGGTCCCTGCGTCCTCCCTTGAATCTCTACACCTGCTGGTGCAGGGGATGACATTACAACTAATTTAAAAACAAAGTCAGATGCCTCGAAGAGTTGATTTCATTTCAGCTAAAACCGCCAGGCAGCCCGAGTGCTTGGATTGGGGGAGGAGAATGCGGGCGCCTCAGCCCTGCCGTGTGGAGTCCTGAGTGCTTTCCCACCTCCATGCGCCTCTGGCTCCACACCCAGAGTCAGCACAGAGGCTGCCCGTAGCCCTGACCACGGCGTGGGCACAGCTCGTGCACGGCCAGGGCCGGTCTGCTTCCCTCGGGATGAATTATCCAGCAGAACCAGGACTGTCCCGCTTTTCCTCGTGGTCACCTCCAGACACACCAGGCACAGGGCCAAGAGCCTCCCTCCACACCGCATCCGCCCCCCACCCCAAGGCCCCCAAGATGCACCCTGCAGCCCCTGCCGCACCCCACCCCGTGCCAGCACTATTCTATCTCCTCTTTGTTGTTTTCTTCCACAGATGTTTAAATTTTCCTTAATTCTCCTTAAGTTGGCCTCACCCCAGTTATTTCTGGTTTTGGAAACCTGACTTCGGGTTCAAGATCCCGTACTTCGTGTCCACCTTTAACTAGCACGGCCTCGTGCAGAACAATGCGTGTTTGCGTTTCCTAAGAAACTCCTCTTGAAGAGCAAAACTTGACCTTCAAGTCTCAGGTCTTACATTTTTATTTGAAAACTAATCCATGTTCTCACTTTCTAAGAGTCTTGCAAATCCAGCAGGGCATCTTTACATAGAACTCCCAGTTAATTCACATGCTAGAAGGAAGTACTTTTCTAGGATTACCGAACTAGAAACGCAAGCTTTAAAAACTCCTCTTTCCTGTGAAAAGCCAACCACCTGTGGGATATGGAGAAACCAGATCCTCAGTCACCATGGGAACCTAGCTCCCCCCAAGTCCACAGGGGCCCAGGTCCCTTCCACAAAATGACTCAGCATTTCCACACTCCTGAGTGTCCACCATGTGGGGCTGAGTCAAAGCACCTGTCGCAGGAGCCCTTGCACTGTGTTGGGACCCTGGTGTGGAGGGTGCCTCCACGGGTGCCGCCACAGCACGGTGGGAGGTCAGTGGTCGCCTGGGCCTGGAGGGCTGGAGAGAGCAGAGGGAGAATAAAAGGTTCATGGAAAGGTTCACTGTTTCTTGGGGAAGGGTGACTGAAATGTTTAAAAATGCATTGTGGTGATGGTTGCACAACCCTTAAATATACTAAAACCCATGAGGAGTGCCGCTAAAGTGGCTAGATTCTATTACGTGCCAATTATACCTTAATAAAACCGCTGTTTAATAGGTCTACTACGTGCAGGCGTCACTGGGGTGAGGGTGGGGGGAGGGTCACACAGAGACTCCAAGACCCCGCCCTGGAGGTGTGTGGTCCACACAGGAAGATGGGTGTGAGTTGGGGATTATAACACAATAACCAGATCTTAGGACAAACCTACTCGATAATAAACAGCAGCACAGGCATTGTGAATGTGGGGTTTAAAACTTACCTAGCTCCCTGGAAGGGGTCCTGAGAAAAGATGTCTGGGAATCAGAGGAGGGGTGGACTCCAGGGTCCTGGGAAGGGGCTTACGAGAGGAGCAGGACACACTGGGAGGCTGCCCTGTGCATCGGGACCTCTGACCCTCAGGTGCCCTTCCTGGGTCAGGAGTCACCTTGGCTGGGCTCGAATCCCATCCCCAGTCTGCAGCCTGGGAAGGCCTTCGGGAGAGGAAGGAGCCCAGCAAAGAACCGACTGGTAACCTGGCTGGCTGATGGCTCACGACAGAAAAGGGGCTGCTGGAGACCTGGTGCCAATGGCCAACCCCCAGTGGAAGATGCAGAGGTCATGTGCAGGGTGAGACCTGTCAGGGTGACAGAGGAGGGCCACAGCTGAGTCCACGGGGACCATCCTGAGTGTGAGGGGCTCTGACACCTGTCCTCTCAGTGGACAGGCTGATGCCCAAGAGCCTGGGGGAGAGGGAAGTGGGTGCCTTGTGGGAGTGCACTGGGAATCCTTGAAGGGCCAGGTGGGGGCCAGGCAAGATGACTTCAAATGAGCCCCGGGACAGCTCTGGGACAGGCTGCCCTGAGCCCGGGAAGGTTTCTGGGCCGATTTCCGGGTGGTTACATTTTATTTTCCTCCTGCTAAATTTTCCATACAAAGTGTACACTCTGTAAGACAAGCGTGCTTCACTCATGGATGACGGGAGGGTGAAGATGTGTGCACAGGACACAGACATCAAGTGGACTGAACTATTCTGATGCTCTTCTTACAAGCCTGAAGGTGGCAGTCACAGGTGCATCCCAGTGACAGTGGCTCTTACGTCCCAGAATGTACCACGTTGTAAATCAGTACTGAAAATATCCCGAAGCATTTTCCAAAGTTTCACTTCTAAACTCGTCCTGAAACAAATGACTTTGTTTCATGAACTTGATCATGGCATCCAAGTACTTGGATCATTCCATCCAAGTAAAACCAAAGAACCCCAAGAGTAGAGTTCAGTTTTAGTGAGAAAGACTCTGGGCTGGATTTTCAGCATCCTCACAGCCATTAGCTCTGCAACTTCAGTTCACATCCCAAACCTAGGGGTGCACTGCTCCCCCACACTTGACCTCTCACCTCACCAGCTCTGAGGCACTAATGAGGTGACCGATTAGCATCCACCTGTGCAAAGCAGGCTCCTATGATCCCTTCTGCCACCCCCTTCTTGCACCCCCCTGAGTCCTCAAATCCAATCCACCAACCGTGCCCACTCAGGCTACCTGCCCCCCTCCCCAGTCTCCCTTCCTGCGGCTTCCCTTGCCTGGACCAGTGGCCCAGAGGGAAGAGCTCCGGGTTAAGTGAGGTTTCTGCTCACCAGAGAACCTGGCACAGAAAAACTCTCCAAATGTTTAAGGGCCAGTTCTCCCAAAGTTACATTGCAACCTGGGAAAGCTACGGGCCGTGCAGCTCAGTGTGCAATGTCGTTTCCCCAAACACACGCTGGCCCTGGACGTGTGGCCTCCTAGATCCTTTGGAGACAATGCTCATGTGAGATGTAGGCTCTACACCTCAGGGCAAGAGGTCAGTTTTGTCCAAAGCCTGCCACCTCATCAGAGCCCACTGGAACTCTACAATAAAATTTGGGTCTCTTTCCTCAGAGAATATCTTAATTTAGATATTGCAATTTGTTCCACTGTAAACTAATTCTTAAAGTTCTTGCTGTTACCTCCAGAGAACACTGGGAAGAGTCAGGAGCTCAGGACTTCCCATAACATGCCATTTCCCTCTTGATGCAGAGAATGTGACCCTAAACCTGATGTGTCCTCCCCCAATTTGTTCCTTGGCACAAGCAGGACAAACTCACAGAGGTGCTGAGGTTTAGTCACTGGGTTGCTGCTACGATGCACCTGCCAGACAAGGAACCAGTCAGAAGCCCACCTGGGCTCGCAAGCAGCTGTGCCTGGGGACCCCGCAGGAAGGAAAGCGTCAAGTGTCCACTCAGAAACAGTCACAGTCATCAGCATTCAAGCCCAAATCACAGGCCCATCCATGCTCCTGCAGCGCGTGGGCCCCTGGGAACAGTGACCACAGTTTCTATTGCTGCAACCCCTGCACCAGCCAGGAAGCCCAGAGTCGGGGGGACTGGCGACCAGCACTTCTTGGATGAATTAATGAAATCAACTCAATGCCTTGAGAATGCTTAGTATTATTTGGGATTTAGGGTCTGACACAGACCCTACAAAAGCACAAAATTATTTTAAGCAGAAGACATTTGAGAATAGAGTTTTTGAGAAAAGGTACTGTCACACCTGTCATAATGTTCAGCCTCTCCCAAGAACTCAATTGTTTTGAGACAGTGACTTACTGTGCAGTCTAGGCTGACCTTGAACTCGAAATCCTCTGCCTCAGCCTCCTGAGTAGCCGAGTGTTATGGATTAAAAACTGGTGGTCAACTTAACACCAGCTGAATTAAATCAGCATGGTGCTGAGTGTTGATGGCCACCTGAGCAAAGTTGCCAGCATAAAAAGGATTGTGGAGAAGAAGAGTGAGGTGTTGGAGCCTTGGGTTCTCCTGGAGGAGCT